ATAATCACTTGCACTCCAGCAGCAAAAAACCTATATGGCATGTACGTAATATTGCATTATGCACAAATACCCAGCTTCTCCTCTGATGGACTCTTTAAATTAACCCAAATTTCCGAAAATTCTAGTGTAGCAACTTGGGCAAAACTGAACTTCACGCGCATTTTGTGTTCACGCAGTTTCGAGCATGATCCTTGAATATGTATAAGACGCTCTTGTGGTCCTATTTAGGATAATTTTTAAATGACTGTTTGACACTTAATTTGCCTATATCTTATTTATGCTGCATTTCGAAGTCCGTCATTGACTACAGACCGTTTTATCTAGATGCAAAACCATTTGCAACTTAGTATTATCATTTTAGCTTTGTCACGACAACAAATAACCAAGGATGGTAAAAATTGTTTAATAGTGCAAACTTAGCATCCCTGAAGTCATTTCGAGGTCCTGGAAGACGCGGATAAGTCAATCACCCAACAGCAAGCGTCGTCATAATTCGACTCTTGCTGTCATGGACTCTCGTTCATTTATTGAAGCGAAAATTGCCCAGCGACCTATTCTCTTGATTGGTAAAGCATATGACCCACTCAGCAGAGAGGTAGCGCAATATCTCAGGATGCTGGACCTCAATAAAGGACATAGCAACATTTTCGAAGCACTTTACATTGATCAACGACAAGACGTCTCCGTGATTGATACCTACATCTATCAAAAATGGTTAACCAAGTGCCGTACGGTGCGAGTTCTTAGGTTCATGCTTTCATCTATTTTCTAGTACTTTACCTGCTCTGTAAAAACCCCACCTTTCGTGTAGAAAAAAAACCTTACCATAACTAGTCTCAATGTATAAATCACCCTAATATGCGCAGTCAGTGAAAATCTTCACCAGTTTCGTCGCATTACGTTTCATAGATAACTACATTATCCTCCTACCTATGCATGCATCGTTAATGTGCACCAACACCTAATCCGGCCAGTAAGATTATAATGTTTTCAATAAAATAGGTTCCTCACCTCTTCATTCGTGGTGAATATATTGCAGGAGGGATGGACCTTATCTGGTTACTCCGGAAAGGAATGCTAAGGAAGTTATTTACGGATCAGTGTATCTGTTAACAAAAGCTCAGAATAACATGGTACAGTCCCACCAGACAATAAAAACTGCTATACACATCCTTGCAGTTCTTGGACCTGTTGTTTAAGAGCTGTTGTTGGTTGTCGTCCTCGCCCAGGGTTGAACTTGGGATTGATTTCGAGATCTTTAAAGCTGGCGTAGAAGCGATTACTGATTATATTTTCGGCCAGGTAATCGAATCCGCACTCATCGTACACATTTTTCGTTGTAAACTCCCTGAAGTCGTTTTCACTAGCAAGCTGGCTCCAAATCTGGGCACCTTTCCACGCATCGAGACTCGGATCGGCTATGAAAATAAAGAAGATAAGTGTTTAGGCATACTCAACGTTAGCATAATTGCTGTGGAAGCAGTAGTGCCACGTCGACTTGAGATATAGATCGTAATTTGTTTACCAGCCACAACCACCTCCAAGGGGTTACCGCCTTCCTTCCAAGGTAGAAGCTGTTGGAGCTCTAATCGTAGTCGCTCTTCCATGCCAGGTAACCTTGCTGGGCTTCCGGTGAGGAAAAGACGTCGTGGAACCCAGGGTTTGGCCGCATCCTCATAGAGGTACTTAGAAGCGTCGCGTAGCACCCAGGTGAGGCATTCACCCACACCCGCCTGCGTGTTGCCCATGAGACTGCGCTCAAACAAAACTTCAGTCGCCCTAAAGGGTAGCGCATCTTATTGGACAGGTAAGAGTTCCAGTGGGATCCTATACTTTAGGTATTTCATAGGGCTTCATTGTTACCGGTGATCTGATTTCAAGAAGCCAAGCTAGGCCTTAGGGTATAAAGCTCAATCATTCAACTCATTAGTTCTAGCGTTTCTTTCTGATATGTTATTTCTAATAAAAGGTGAAATCTCTAACCAGTGAGAATTTCAGACTATTCCTTAGAGCTCAAACAAATCCAAATACATATTGTAAAATTTGGTTCTGGAAATAGTCTAGGTTTACAGTCAGATGAACTTTTGGTGAAGGCATATACTGGTAAAATTTCACAATAAAAAACAAATCAGATTGTGATTCCCATGATAAAACGCAAGGCCTACCGGATCGGCTCTGTCGACAGATGAACCTTGTAATATTCAGAAATATTTATCTTTAGTCCAACCGTTCCCGTTTCCCTGCATAATAAAGTTAAAATTTGCCGGTCGTTTCCGAAGCAGTAATCACGAGTTCATGTCAAATCACTGGCTTACCTTTCTCTCGAAGAGAGTTACCCGTAAGACTACTTTGAGAATCAAATAAACTGCATGGAAATACTGTTCAATTTATTGAATTGACAAAAGTAAATGCATAGAGACGGAATGGAGATAAGTTCACGATTATTATTATCAGATCAACAGCAATGAATTCACGTCTACTAATCTGGCATCGATATTTCTATCTGGCTCGTAAAACTATTTTAATAAATCAAATGAGGCATGACCAAATTACCTTTAGTCGACTAGACAAAAAAGTGAATGAAGTAGTCATTCGAAAATCTTGTCCCAAAAGGGTATGATGCCAAAAACAAACCCATGAACCGCCAAATAAAATGAAATTAAAATTGACAGGAAATGTTTAATATTAGCATCATTAAACCAACAATCGTGAATTCCTGTTTGCTAATGGATTGTCGCAGAACCCATTTCTTCGTCAAAAGATACACAGGAAAAAGAGAAACCAGATGATATTAAATTGGTTGAGCTAACGAATGCAAATCCATAGAGAAGGGCTGTCAAAAATGCGTACGTGAGCAAATCGGCACAGATACCCTAGCAATCACAGCCAATGAGGACTGCCTAATTAGTCTAAAATGAGAGCTGAGTTTACTTGAGAAATTCCGGGTCGTAGGAGGCGCGAACGCAATCGAGAACGGCGAGCTGATCGCGTTCGCACTCGCTGAGATCTGCAGCCTCAGTCTCAAGCTTTTCGAAGGCGTCACGGGGCCTCGACCTTGACTGACTGCCGTCACTAGATACAGCAGCAGGGAAGTGAAAAGTCGGTGAAATCGGGCAGGTGTTTTGCTGTGGTACTCCGTCTCCCACCTCAACAAAATCACCCCCTACATCCTCTGAAAAGGCATCCAAACTCTCCAGAGCCACCTCCTCGTCCAACCAGCTCTCCTCGTCTCCAGTTGGAGTTATCTCTGCCATGCTGCGATTCGAATCTTTTCTGGGAATCTAGAGTACCGGATAAGGTCTCATATTCGCAATGAGACGCAAATTAGGTTTGATCAATCACATAACCAAAAGGTAAGCAGATAGTCCAAAAAACGAGCTGCTCAGGGATGCTGCTCTGAAGGAGCATTATAGGACAAATGCTGCCGCTTTTTAAATACCGTACAAGGCATGAAATACGCCTTAATATCTTCGTGAGCAAAGTATCAAATATCACATAGATTATGATTAAAAAGTCAAATTTAAATCGCGACACAATTTCGATCGGTCCGGTTATGCAGCTGGGCCGATGGAGGATAACCTTAACAATGATGTTCTTCAGATGCTAAACAAAATGCAGTTTATTTTAAAAATGCCTCATTTTATCAGATTCTGCATAAACTCACCGTTTTGCGAGCAGCTCCCCGACCGACACCACGCTTGCCACCACTGCTGCGCTCGGATTTCAGTTCGCTCGTCATTGCACGGATCTTTTCGATTTTGCGTTGCTTCCTCTCCGTAATTGAATTCTGACTAATCACCGCCATTTTCCCATCATCCATTATCTCTTGGCTGTGCAACCCTAGTTCAGTGGCCAAATCCACCTTGGATTGGCGAAGGGTTCGTTGCTTGGCGATCCTCTGTCGTTTGTTATTTATTTGGGAGAGCCAGAGCTGAAGAAAAGTAGAAATGACATGAGGTCGCATTCGAAACACATGAGTATATCATTAACATCAAAACTTACGCAAAAATCATCCCTCCGCCTCGCTTCCAAGTCGTTAGCGGCCAAAAGTCGCTAAAACCGAGAGTATCCCATTAGCAAAGGAGCATGTACTTATGGTTGCTCCAATTAGAAATACGCACACGTCTCAGCTTTTGATCATTTAAGCCTTGTGCGTTGGTGGGCGGACCTGTTGTCATTTGCGCCTGTACTGCTGCAGGATAGGGAAATGAGGAAAGCAGCTCGGTGGCCTTCCTTTCACGAAGATTTACAAGCTTCTGCAGAACTGTCTCCTCGCCGGTTTCTACATCGCAGAGGGGTGGTGTTGATCTGTCAGTCTCACTCTCTCCCACATCATCGATGAGGCGGTCTCGTTTCATGTCGCTATCAAAACTACGAGTATCAGATTCATCCGAATCGGCCTGTTCTTTCAACTAAGTACAGGGATGTGTAAGGTACTTGTGAACACAAAAAATGTTGGGAAGTTACCGTCAGTTACATACCCGACCCATTACTCGTTTACGGTGTATTTCCCTCAGTCGATCAGCTTGAAATTGTCTGCGCTCAGCTAATTCCTGCGCCTTGCGTTGTGTTTCCTAGAAAATGTTAATCAAGCAAGTGGGACAGTGGGGAACAGACCGAAGTATGAATACGTAAATGCCTTCTAGAGAACTAACATCAGAATAGGGAATACACCATGTTCGTGTATTCTCCTGTTTGTAGGCTTCATCCTTCCAGCGCTGCATTTCTTCACGGTAATTCTCACATACCTTACCAAATGTTCGGATGAGATCCTGGTGAAAAAAAAAGGTGGTACAGAATGGATTAAGCTGTTGAGATACAGCAGTATCCAACCATAAATGAAAAAGGACCTTACTTCAGCTATAGGAATAGTGAACTTGTCTGAGTGACAGGGATACTTGAGGGCCAAAAGTTGTTGAAAATACCACGAAATGTGCGCCCCCCCAACAGACAATCGTCGGCACGCAGAAGGAATGTACGTGCCGTTCGAGAACGGAATAATATGTGTCGTGTGATATCCAAATGAAAGCATCATTGTATCTCTATTGAAGGCTAAAGCAATCGAATAAAACGCAACAGATACCTGGAGAATCAGTGCCGAAGTTTGCGTAAAAGGATGCAAGGCCATCTACAAAGTACGTAAGCCTGTTCACTGAATATGTTTCAAAAAGAAGTTCTGTGATTTCTGTAGATTTACATTACGAATGAATGCAAATGGACCTACGAGATCGGGATTGCTGTGGACAACATAGAGGTTCGCTTAATATGACTGGAAAATTAACCCCGGAGGACTCAATACCAATGTTACAAAAAATATGATCAAACACGATTTCCTGTACGTCCAATTGAGTGACTGTATTTTGTTCGAAAGGGGATTTTGAATTAACTTGGCTGAAGTCCATTTCATCCATCGATCCAACGAAAGTTTCCCTCATCCGAGACCGGGATTTCATGACAACGTTTCGAAATTGTAGCATAGGCTCATTCTTATTGGAAAACCCAGCCCTACATTCGAAAGAGCCATTGTCCACGACAATAGCCGGCACCACCATTCCTGAATGAATATGCCAACCAGAATGATACCAGGCTGACAGGGAACTACTATCTTAGCTTAAGCCTAAACTAATGCCAATGGTACAAGAGAGGCAGTAAGTTGTTATTTTTCATTTACATTACTCTGCTCAGCTTTTTATAAAAGCAGGAGCCTTATGAGCATATCATGTCTGGATTTTTTAATAGTAAATATTGATTTTATAGAACATTAAATATGAAAGGTTCAAAATACTTTGAAGTCAAATCTGCATCATTTTATAATTCTGCTGTGTCGTTTCATGCTTGCTTAACAGTAAAATTAGGCTAGCATACACCACACTTCTGCGGGAATGTGGTTATTTAGTCACATTATTTTTCCCGTGGTGCTCCACCATCATAACCATTTACCATACCTTCCTTTGCTCTAAGCAGTTTTTCTCATTTTGCGCTTATATTGCATGGCTAAATGGCTGCTTGTTAAACGTAGCTTTTTTAACAGGTTTATAGTTCATTTGGTTCATATTTGTGCTATTACTTGTCAAAAGGTCCCAATCGTTTATTTTGTACCTAATTCTTGGGTTACCTTATACTTATTCCTATCCTATAGCTAAAAATAAAATATGGTTGTATTCACCTTTTATGATTTCCCATAACTCTTACATTCGACTTTCTGCAACACATACTGATATTTTGCGTTTTAAATTCTAGTGGTTGCAATTCACTGGAAGGTAGTGTTTTGACATTTTGTTCATTCGTGCCTTTCACCGCGGGGGGTCTTTTGATTCTCCTAGGCTGTGCTCATGCTCTGCGCCATGAATCCTGGGTCGCACAAATGCCTTTCCAACTTCTCTGTATGTTGGTAATTGAAGGTTCGAGGCTCTACGCTAAATGTATTTGGATGGGTTAAAGTGGCTGCTGGTGGAGTTAATTGAGAATGGGACGATAATTGCACTGGTTGTGGAAATGACCCGGGTCTAAAAGAGATTTCACTTTGGGTTAAGTAGCGCAATCAAGGCTGCTCTAAGCCAATCCGTATTGGCGTTATAGTGGAAAATGGCGGCTTTTGTCATGTTCAGATTTAAGTGGAACTTCTGTTGTGAGTCGGTGGATTTTAGTGCACAAAGGCTGGTTTCCGCCGTCACTGTTTCGCATTTTTCCTACGATTGGTTACCATCTCTCAAGTTTGGTATAAGCGCAGAGGCTGTGAGACCCTCTTGACGGTACGTTTTCCTATCTTAAAAGCAGTAATGTTCGTTATATTCTCAGTTGCTGCTAAGCCCTAATGAGCCAGTTAGCGGATCCCCCTGTCAACGTAAAATAATTATAAACATGCTCCCCAGGGCGGAAGGTCACGAGTGCTGGAGGCGCTAAACTGTTGTTTGCACAAGCAAACGTCTCCGAGAGATCGATGGTACATTTTTACTTGTTATAACTGCAGGAGGCGGTGTGTGGTGCAACTTGCATAATGTGGTTCACCGTTTTAGAGGTTGGTTTCTTTGTAACGATGCCGTGAATCCTTTGGATTGCTTTTATTTTTGAAGGTCTGAAAACAATGTTTCCATCTAATTTGCATCGATGTTAGGTGTGTTCAGCCGAAAACCTTAGTTAAACGTTTCTTTTAGCTCATTGACAGGAAGGTATGAATTCATTACCGTGTTTTTTAGGTGGTGCATTTGTGGCACGTTTCTAGTCTGTGTGAATAATTATTGTGCTGCCGTTGGTAGGCTGAGCTGCAGAAAACGGAGTACTTGAGCGGTAGGATCCTTGCTTAAATTTCGTCTAAAGGTACCAGTAGACTAGCCTAGAACGTGTAGATTTCCTTCCAATTGTTGGGATTTACTTGTTTCTTCCAATATGCAATGTATGGTAATTAAGCTCATCGGCTGAGGAAAGCGCGGCTGTGTTTTATGGGGTGTTTTCCCACCTAGATTTAAGCCCCGGATGAACGAGAATTCGCCTATTTTGTGTGAATCAGATGCTTAAAGATTAATTTATTTAACTTTGCTCTAAGAATTGGATTCAGATAGTCCTCTAGGCTTCCTCAACTTAACGCCAGTAACTGAACCTACACCCGCAGTCGCTCGACTTTTCAGTCTCCCTAAGGAAATGCGTGAAGATTGGATTCAAGGTACTTGGTTGTAATGCACTTCTGCTGATATGTGTAGTGCTTGTTGAAGGCTCAGGTGCTAACAGGTGTAAGTTAGTTATCAAAGAATTGAGTACCATTTTAAGTTTACTCACTGATATTACTCAGATAAATTGTTCATGATCTTGCACGTGTAACTCAGTGGGTGAGAAATAAAAGACCTTGAAGGATTCATCAGTAAAATTAATGCCTTAGAATTATTAGAGCAAATAAACACACTTAAAGCACAAATCAATAGACAGAAAACAACCGATTTTTGGTATTTAAGGCAAACTTTAGTTCACTTGTTCTCCAGAAATTACCACCTTATGTAGGCAGTGTCAGACTGCTGCTAGTCGACCAAGTGCATACAAAGTAAGCTTTAGTGTTAAATGTGTGAAGGTCTCATTCACTATATTGGCTAGGACTCCACAGACATGCTCCTACGAAATCTCCTGGCCATAAATCCTAGCGGTCAATTGGAGTAGAAAGTGATGGCAGAGATATTGCACTCAATTGTGATCACTGCTTGTGTTGATTCAGAATGTGCGTGTGGCTCTTTTATTGTAGCGAATTGCACCATTCCTAAAATGGCAGTAAGGTGTCAACAGGCGATTTTGAATGTGCCTGCTTCACTGATTACAGATCAACGTTCATCACTGTTTTCTTTAGTAAGACTTTGCGGGTGGTACTCTCATCGAATTTGTCGTTATTCACGCCGATTGATGATGCCATCGCAATCCAGGTGATATTTTCTTCAATAAGTTTTTCGAAAGAAACATGAAAGTACTCCTTTGAAATTCCACCACAACATATTTGCTTTTTTCGATTAGGCATTTAAAAATTATTATCATGCTATTTATTTTTGGGAATATGTTATATCTGCCCCAAAAACGAACTTACTCTACATTTGTATTTTAAATTTCTCTAATTATTTAAAGATATTAGATTTTATGTGATTAGGTGTTTGTTGCATATGACTTGGGAGTCAAACACTTGCAAAATTAACTTTAACTGTCTGCACCAACACCTCATGATTTCCCGTGACAGCGATACGCTGCTGAAGCACAGCCGCTGGATAGCAAGTAGAACACTCAACTTGTGTGTGTCCATTCTTATCTGGAGACAAAGATACGATGTCGATTCGAGGACTCTAAAATAAACATTGCGAAAAACAGGAGCAGGTCCCTGGTTAGTTGAAGGTTAATCTACTATGAGATTCGTCTGCACCGTCTTTGACCTTACCCTAGTGTGGCATCAGACCCCGTCACAATGGTGAAAGTAAATGAACAGAAATGATGGTTTTTGTGTCTGCTTTGATGTTTATCTTTTTGTTGCAAGTCTTTTAAACTTCAGCATTTGATGTCCAGCTTTGTATTGAATCCCCAAATGTTGTATCGCAAATATTGAACTCGATATTGAATTTAAAATAGGACAGTAACATTTACAACCTCTCCTAGCACTCATTCCCTTGTTGCATTGGTTAGTGCCATCAAATTTGAGCGGAGTCTCATCCATTGTGGACCCACCGTTGCATGCCCTACTTACGCGCACACACCCTTGCAAGCACGCACACGTTGAAAGCACTCACAAACTTGGCCATTAAAACGTCGGAACCGGGAGAAGATAAAGCACCGGGTCTGTTAGGCACGCACGTAAGCGCGACGGCGGTGGGCGCAGCTGAGTTGACGTCACGCGGTGGGTTTGCGACGCGTACGTATGCGCCCTCTCACCGCTCGTGTGCGTGCGTGTGCGCGCACTCGCGCCAGCTCCAATCGATAGTCGCCATCGTGCAAGGGTAAAGCCTCGCAGCGCTATTTTTGTGGGTACACGAGTGAATGCCAGGGGAGTGGTGAGGGCAGTTTTGCTAGTGGGCCAACGAAATAAGCTTAAGAGCTCAACAAGCCTCTCCAAGCTCACCCTCCTCTCAAGCTGATTGATAAATAATAGGTGATCATCAGTCTTTAATCGCTAGAGTGTATAGCCCTCTATATGACGCATAGCCTACACAAATATTTGAAGAGATATGATACGGCTGTGATACGAATAAGTTTGCTGAACTAAGGGTTGAGAATGCAAAACGTCCCAAAACGTGATATAGTGGTACTTCTCATAACTTTGATCTCACTATCAATTTGTAAAAGTAGTTGAGTTTGCATTCATGCTAGAATGCCTTTTTATCACCCACTGCTTGTTATACAAGTTTTATGTAAACTGGGTCCCCAAAGCGTACAAATAAAATTGTTTACAATCTCATCACACAGGCACTGAGAATGTTTCTGAAGTGTAATTACAATCCTCCCAGCCATTCTGATCAAGTAGAAGCATGAAATCTTATTTGCTTGTTGTTCACTAAGACAGACCACCTCATTGCTGTTCCTCACCCTCATGCTCTATCAAACCCTCCCAACTTAGATGCAAATTACCTGCTTTTTGGTACTTTAGGAAACGCGTGCATGCCATTTCGGCCAGGCTTTTAAACACACTTAAGAATAAACGAACACTACACGCGTTGTGAATGTGAAGTAAAAACATACTAGGAATATGCGCTTCACGCAGCCAGTCCACTTCTCTTGCAAGTTCTGTCTTGCTAAAACAGACCTCTAACCTCCGCGTCGGTGGATTGGAAAGGTGTCACCCTCAGAAAGCGGGTGTAAATGTAAAAATGGATGCGCCTCAGGGGAAAGAGTCGGTGTACTGAACAACCGACTGAATCATCGTGTGTTGTGAACTACGTTGACAGTGGCGATGCCTCAGCTCAACTGAAAAACTACATGTCCCCTCACGCTAATTAAAAACATCATGCGGGTAACTAATTACTGAATGTAATTGCCTTAACAATTAAGCAAATCTGCACTCCGGTGTGAGTGCATTGCTGCTCGTATAACCTGCTCT